CCCCAAAACCCCAAAACCCCAAAACCCCAAAACCCCAAAACCCCGAGTTTGCATATAGTTATTGTAAATAAGATTTTAGCATATATTTAATTAAATTTTCTTCTTAAAATCTTATCATGGCGATTATTGATGGGTATTGATTGATAAAGGACCTTGGGCAAGGATATTTTTCAAGGTGAGTCAGAGGAGATTAGGGTTGGGAGAGCGAGGTTTTAATTCATTTAGAGTCAAATATGCGAGGAACCTCAAGAACGATAGACTATCAGCTCTTAAGATAATGCCTAGATGTCGGAAGTATCCGAACATCAGAGAGGTTTATTTAAACGAAATTGGTTTACTTCAACAAGTCGAAAATGATCATATTATTAAACTCCACAGTTATAGCAGCACTAAGAAGTCTGCTTGAGCCAAAATCTCCAAGCCTGTGCCCGTCTATGTGGTCGAGTTGGAATACTGCACTCATGGGGAGCTAGACCAATTACTAGAGGCAACAGGGAGGTTGTGAGACAAGGAGGCACGTAATTATTTTAAGCAATTAATCAGTGCTGTGGAGTGCATCCATGGCCTTGGCTACGCTCATTCTGATATAAAGGCTCAAAACTTGCTGCTAAGCGAGGATTATCAACTAAAACTGGCAGATTTCGGGTTTTCAACAAAAGAGGAAATCCTGAAAGATAGAATCGGAACTTACTCTCATATGGCCCCAGAGATAATAAATAAGGAGCCATATGACCCTAAAAAGGGAGACCTATTTGCCTGTGGGGTTGTTCTCTTCCATTTGGTGATGGGTTTTCTTCCTTTTGTAGCGGCATGTCCTAAGGATAGGTCCTATAATAAGATAATTTCTAGAGATTTTAAAGGGTTTTGGGAGATTCATGAAGCATCACATCATTCAATTTCAAACAAATTTTTTTCTTCATTCAAAGACCTTTTCATTAAAATGGTACACCCAGACGTTGAGGAGAGGCTTACTCTTGAAGAAATCAAGGAGCATGAGTGGTTCAACGCCTGTACCATCGAAGGAGATGAGCTAATTGCTAGTATGAAGGTCCGATCTAAGGCTGCCTTGGATAGCACAGAGTTATTCCCTAATGAAGAGTTTCACTTCCATAATTTTATAATACCAAATGATGACATTGTTCCTCCAAAGAAATCAAAGAAAAAGGGCTTGCAGCTCAAAAAGTACTCCGAATACTTCATGTCTGAGACTGGGAAGACACTACTTTCAGCTATTATTTCCTTTGCCGAAGCACAAGGCTTGTGTTATACTGAAGATTCAACTCATTCTGCAGTCTTACTAGAATCTCAAACAGACGACGAAAATGTATCAATAAAGGCAAATGTGGTAGACAACCCCTCTTGTCAATCACAGTGAATAGAATGTATCAAACTGAGTGGTGAAAAGACAATGTTCATGAAGCTGTTCCACCAATTATGCCAGTATGTCACAACTTCAACCCCTTACAAACCAGAGCTGAGCTCCGGCTTGTCATAATATCAAAATCTGAAAGAACATCAGATAATATACACAAACAGACTTTAGACAGTAACTAAAGCTTTGAAACATTATCAATATAATTTCTGATGAATGGGGTTTTGGGGTTTTGGGGTTTTGGGGTTTTGGGGTTTTGGGG